CAGGAAGTCCCAGGAGAGCGCGAGCCAGGTTCCTTGGAGATGGGAGAAGTCGGGACTCTGGAGCAATTGAACTGGCAGTTTCTGTGACGAGAGGGAGGGAGGGAGGGAGGGGGGAGGGATTTTGTGCTGAGGAAAAGTCTGACAGCAGGGGCCTACCCACATCATTGGAAGCAAGAAGGCATGTTATGCTATGCGTGTGAAGAGTGGGCGCTAGAAGGGAAATGTGCAAGGGAACTTGTGAGGGAGAGGCAGTAGGGCAAGGAGGCGGGGTGGGCAAGCATAGCAAGGCTCAGGGGTTCATTAGTAGGAGCAAGGAGGAGGCATTGTCAGGGGGAAATGCTATGTATCTGGCTGCTGGGCGCAGGAAAATTCACTGGGAGGACAAGGCAAGGCAGTAGGGCAAGGGGTGAGAATGTCAAAAGGCTAAGGCAGAGGGAGGGGGGGGGTAGAGGGGAAGGGGGGATACATTTCGGTCGATTTCAAAAGGGGGTTGTATTAGGAGTGGTTGAAGGGGATGCAATAGACATGCCCCATCTCTGGCCGTCTGACCATTTGGCCGTCAGATTGTATGTATTGTTATTGTCGACACTACGCTTTTTTTTTTTGTTGTTGTTGAGCTTTTTGGAACTTGCTTGCTTGAAAAAGGAGGCAGCCATTGTGCTTTCCTCTATTCTCACCTCTGATTTGATTTTGCACACCTTGATGGTTTCTGCTGATAGCACCATCTGATCAGCGCGAAAGGTTTCAGCTGTCGTTTGTTTGTGCACGTGCTCCAACTGACCGGTAGGCCAAGGTACTCTCGGCAGTTGTTTGTCGTTTGGATTGTTATATTCCGAGGAAAGGTCCTTTTGTCGTTTGAAAGAGACATTGGCTGGTTGGTTGCCTTCTTGATGTTTTTTTTCATGAAGTGATGTCTGCGACTTGAAGTTGGATCGAAACTTGGATGGTTGATTCTTCGATCATCGCCATTTCAAAAGTTCTTCATGACTGTCGGATGTGTGTAGTCATCCATTGTCAATGGACAGAGGCAGGGTACAAAAGGGAGATGGAGAGGAGGAGATGGAAGGGAGATGGAAGGGAGATGGAAGGGAGATGGAGGGGAGATGGAAGGGAGATGGAAGGGAGATGGAAGGGATGAGAGGAGGGAGGTGGAAGAGATGGGAGGAGGGAGGTGTAGGGGATGAGAGGAGGGAGATGGAAGATGAAGGGAGAAGGGAGAAGGGAGAAGGGAAGGGATGGGAGAAGGGATGCCAGGAGGGAGATGGAAGAGATGGAAGAATGGATATGGAGGATGGAAGAAGGGAGATGGAAGATGGAAAATGGAAGGTGGAAGATGGACGATGGAAGATGGAAGAAGGGAGACGGAAGATAGATGGAAGATAGATGGAAGAGAGATGGGAAGGAGATGGAAAGGATGAAAGAAGGGAGATGGGAAGGGATGGCAGAAAGGAGATGGAAGGGATAGAAGAGGGGGGATGGAAAAGATGCCAGGAGGCAGATGGAAGAGATGGAAGAACGGAGATGGGAATTGGAAAGAAGGGAGATGCAAAGGAGATGGAAAGGAGATGGAATGGGGGAGGTGGAAGAGAAATGGAAGGGGGGAGGTGAAAGGGAGGTGAAAAGGAGGTGAAAGGGAGGTGAAAGGGAGGTGGAAAGGAAACGGAAGGGGGGAGGTGAAATAGGAGGTGGAAAGGAGATGGAACGGGGGAGGTGAAAGGGAGGTGGAAGGGGAGAGAACGGAGATGGAATATGGAAGGGGGGAGGAGGTGAAAGGGAGGTGAAAGGGAGGTGAAAGGGAGGTGGAAAGGAGATGTAAGGGGGGAGGTGAAATTGGAGGTGGAAAGGAGATGGAACGGGGGAGGTGAAAGGGAGGTGGAAGAGGAAAGAAGGGTGATGGAAGATGGAAGGGGGGAGGAGGTGAAAAAGGGAGGTCAAATGCAGATGGATGGGAGATGTCAGTTGATAGGGTTTCAAGAGGGAGATGGGAGATTTCAGTTGGTTGCAGTTGATGATATGGAGAGAAGGATTCAGTGCTTGTTGCTTATTTGGTGAGCTTTGGTGTCTGATGAGAGGAGGCAATGTTGTGCGAAGGAGGAGGAATAGACGAACGGTTCGGGTTGTGTTTCCATCGCTGTTTTCGCCATTAGCGTTTCCCAAAGGGCGTTGTTGTGACGAAAGGCTTTTGATCCTGTCCAATGAATCAAGTGGGGTAGTGGGGTGGGGTAGAGGTCCAAACTCTGGACCCACTCACGCATTTGTATTCGTGCCATGGACGAATGAGACGATCGATGCGCAATGAAATGCCTTGCGCTGCACAAGCAATTTTTGTGCGGAATGCGGAATTTCGGGAGGGGTGGGTAGTATACTTCACAATATATCCGTCAACTATTTTATTTTTTATTTTTTTGAGTCCGTCAACTTTTTTTTCACTCTCAGCGGCATTTTGTGTCTGGCACGTTGAAACCGCCGGCACGGGCACGGGCACGGGCATGTCTCCCAGCCGTTTTCCTCCGATGCGGCATATGCATGCAGCCGCAGGTTTCGGGGAAGCAAAATTGCTGGCGAGGCTGGGCAAACGAAGGCCCACGCCAATTCGGTTTATTTTTTTGGCCGGGCAACGCATTTCGAGCCTTGGCACCTCGGCAAGGGAAGGGTCAAACGTAAATTTTTTTTATTTTTTATTTTTATTTTTTTTTATTTTGTTTTTGGGTGGTTTACGTTGTTAGCGTGCTATATTCTAGATGTTTCTAAAGCACCAGGAGCCGTTTTATTTCCTTGTGACTCTTTTAATCTTTGGTGCCAGTTTGGGGTCTTGCAGTGGATGTCAATGGGTCTCAGGCTGCGACAATGTACATGATCTTCTTTTTACTCATTATACAGTTAATTATTGCAGTCCCTATCTTGACTGTCCAGGTTCTGACCCCCCAGATAATGTGGCTGGAGTTTTTGGGTTTTGCCCTTACAAATTGCAGTTCGTTAACGGAAAAGACCTCTCCCAGATCATGCCTCCCCTTTTACAACTTGTAAATTAATGTTCCCTCCAACACCCCCCCCGCTCTCCCCACCACACACACACACACACACACACATACAAAGGGGGATTCCTCACATGCAGCCCTTTTCCCTCCCTCCCTCCCTCCCTCCCTCCCTCCCTCTCTCCCTCCCTCTCGCCCTCCGCCCCCCTTTCTCCCTTCTCCCTTCTCCTTTCTCGTTTCTCCCTTCTCCCTTCCTACCTCCCATCCTCCCATCCTCCCATCCTCCTCCCCTCTTTCACAATGGCCTGCTGGGGACCTCTTCTCATTGGGTGTCTTCTTAGTACTTTAGTACTTACTACATTTCTGGAAATTTGTCCTATCTCCCCCCGTCCCACACTTCCTTCCTCCTCCGCTCCCCCTTGCTTTGCTCCTTTCTGTCCCCTTTTGCTAAAGCTCTAGAGGGGGAAGACCTCAGTATAGTTCTGTTCTTCTGATTCCAAGCAGGACTCGAGCTGATGACCTGTTTATTACCAGTGTTGAATATACTATTCATTTCTTCTTTCTTCTTCTTCTTCTTCTTCTTCTTTCTTCTTCTTCTTCTTCTTCTTCTTCTTCTTCTTCTTCTTCTTCTTCTTCTTCTTCTTCTTTCTTCTTCTTCTTCTTCTTCTGCTGCTTCTGCTTCTGCTTCTTCTTCTTCCTGTGAGGATCCCCATCTCCAGAGCTATTGTGGGGAAGGGAACAAGGATTCTGCCCTCTATGTCGACTCTTACTTGTTGCAAGTAAACTGTCCACATCAGTTGATGCTTGGAGTTTTGCCCAAACTCCGGCAAAGCAGTCTGACA